ATTTTGCGTTCCCATCAACAATAGACCAGAGTATCTCATAGGCTGTTTTTATTAATTTTCCTACTCAGGGCCTTATTAGAAGGTAACACTTGGCCTCATGTTCTTTTTGGCTCAAATTATGTATAACATTAAAATACAATGAAAGAAAGGAAGCTTATTTTTCATGTATATGAAAATCTTTAAATCCCTTACTGAGTAAGGTAGGGTCTAAATAAGGATGGACCAAGCACTTCTGTCATCCTGATCCCGAAGAAAGTCTTTTAAAGGATATTCTTGTGTTTGCCCTGAGGAGAGTAAATAGTTTGGGACTAACATGCTGCTGCCTACTGTGCTAAGGAGGCCAATTAGAGTTTGAATAAGCAGGGGTCCTAGAATTTAAGAGAGTAGGTGGTTCCCAATGAATAGAGGACTATGTCTCAAAAAGTTCTAGAGCCAAAGGGTAGATAAGCTATTTTAGACAGTTTCTGGTGGATAAATGATTTTGAGCAGGAACAAGATGTGGTATTTCATTATTATTGAGTATCCAGGAAAATTTAAGCTATTTCCTCCAACACTTTTGCTTTTTCCTCTGACATTTGTACTTTTCCTTTGTTTATACATTTCAAATTATTTCATGAATTTAATATTATTTTACTCTGTTAATACTATAATTTGTTCTGTGAGCTTAATTACCACAGAATTTAGTTCATTTTCTGCAGCAGCACTATTTACCTACTGATTTCATTTCTTAATACAATATTGAAAGAGGAATAAAAAATAATGGTAGATAACACTTTCATGATGCTTACTATCTGCCAGGCACTCAGTTCTGTACATAATTGTTACATCCTCACCGCAACCTATGAGATATATTCTATTATCATCTCCATTTTACAGTTAGGAAACTGGGGAACAGAGGAGTCAAGTAGTAGGCCCAAAGCCACACAATCAGAGTCCAAGTTTGAACCCAGGCAATTGGCCTCAGGGTCTAGGTGTTTAGCAGCCATACTCTTGCCTCTCCTTCACAGCGAAAAATTAATAGTTGAGAACTGATAATAATAGAGATAATCCAGTGGTAATGTGATCATATGTGATTCACCTGAAAGTCTGCAATTCCATGATCTTTTTCTTGGGTGAAAAATGTCAATTCTAAATCAGGTCTTCTGGCATTTCTGTAAGCTCTTTAGGGACAGGAATTCCTAACTCTTTTCAAAAGAAGAGGTCGAGAAAGTGGAGAGGAGTCCAGAAACTATGAGGGTCGAGGAAATAGATGAAAAAACCCAGGAGTCAATTTACAAATATTATTTGAGCTGGGGTGTTGTTGGCAGAGAGCATAACCGACCTCATCAATGATGTCACCACTGTATGTTATTCTCAAGCTATGAATGTGTACAGTGACATAGAACAGAAGGAAAACTGGATTTGCTTTGCCCAAATTATAAAGTAGGGGGGCGCCTGGGTGGCTCAGATGGTTAAGCGTCTGCCTTCGGCTCAGGTCATGATCCCAGGGTCCTGGGATCGAGTCCCACATCGGGCTCCTGACTCAGCGGGGAGTCTGCTTCTTCCTCTCCCTCTGCCTCTCCCACTGCTCATGCTCTCTCTCTCTCTCTGTATCTCTGTGTCTCAAATGAATAAATAAAATCTTTAAAAAAAAAAAAAAAATTATAAAGTAGGTTAATACTTTAAGGCCAAAAAGTTCAGGTGTGGTTCTTTCTCTCCTTCCCGCCCCGCCCCCACATTCCATACTGAGGAGCTTCTGCCACCTAGTGTTCATATAGAAAACTGCAGAAGTTGGGAATTCCCCGTTGCTGTCCCGCCTCAAGTCCAGTTGACAACCCATTCACCAAGTATTGAAAGGGGACCCAATGGTCCTCTCACATTCCCCTCAAGTCTCTTCCCTTCTGTCAGAAATAGAAAAGATTTGACATTATTAATCCTTGTGGAATACTTTAGCTACAATAAATTCCTTTTTAAATTTGAATGTGTTTGAAATTTGCTTTATTTTGGGATTTACAGCTTTCTAATGGAAATTAAAGGTGGTTAAGATTTGGAGGTAGAGGTAGAGGAAATAGGACCTTACAATTACCCTGGAGAGCACAAGTTAGGCAATCTGTAGTCTCTTTCCTCTACAAACCTCCTGCAGGGATGCTAGACAGGCAACGGTGAAAAGGCCGTTTTAACAAAGACCTCACAGCAGTTGTCTGCCGAGCTGCCCTCCTCTGTACTCTCAAAGCATGAGGTTCTAAGCCTGCCACAGCACTTCCTTCTATACAGTCATCATTGATTCATCTTTCCCCTCTTCTAGACATGTGCTCGCCTCCAGGGCATAAATAATATCTAATTCACCTAGCAAATAGTAGTATGTATTAAATAAATACTGTGGAGAATGTCTGCTCTTAACTTGTTCTAGCTTGTAGCCCCCAAATCAAGCTTAGCCAGCTCGGGTAAAGATTTCCCTAGCCAGCCAGTTATTTCTTCAAGGCTTAACCTGGTCTCTCCTTGACCTGAGCACAATTCAGCTTTTCTGTTTCCTGTTGCTTGATTTCCCCTTCTTTTTTTCTGACCTAAAATTCCCATGTGTTGAACTATTTATTATGCCTGCTTTTCACAATCTCCCTCAGTAAACTTTTTTTCCCTACTCTACCCTTAAAGCAAGCCAATTATGCTCAGTCTGTTTTAGTATTTCTTTGTTATACTGTTAGGTTAACAGAGAAACAGAGTATCTATTTGGTTGTATCTGCTTTGGGACAATTTATGTCATCAGGGCCTTGCTTCCCAACTCTGGCACCTGGATACTAGTTTTGAGGTAGAGGAATGGAAAGGAATGATGTCCATCATAAAATAAGTTCTTGAAGGTTTGAGAAGATGAAGGCTTCTAAAGACAAGTGTCCAGGTAGAAAGAAATGTCTGAATAGATGACCACAGCAGTTTTCTTCAGTCTCACTTTCCCTCGAAGTTTCTCCACGTTGATAGCTTGTATCACCACGATACTGGCCCCCAGGAGTATACACTTCCTCAAAGCCCCAACTCCTTGGCTCTTGGTTCTCTTCAGTACTGTGAAGCCATGTTGGACTTTTCAAAAAGGCTTTCTAGTATGAACTAATGATTATCACTGGGTGGAGAAATCATGGTTGATCATTTTCTTATTTATACTTTCTTTGGATTTACTTTTTTATTGATTTATGTATTATTTTTATAATCATATTAAAAATGGGACTTTACAAAATTCAAAGAGAAAACAAGCAAGTAATGAAACTATAAATAAGCATATAAACAGATGGCTAATTCTACCGTGGCTAACTTGTCTACACAGCTCATTTGCTCTCCAAGCTGCTGTTCCATTCCACATCATTTTTGAGGGTCCTGTTGGGATAGCTCACTTTTCCATTTTCAAATGATATTCCTCTTTTTTAAAAATGATTTTATTTGTCAGAGAGAGAGAGAGAGAGTGCACAAGCGGGGGGAGCGGCAGGCAGAGGGAGAAACAGGCTCCCCACTGAGCAAGGAGCCCGACTGGGGACTTGATCCCAGGACTCTGGGATCATGACCTGAGCTGAAGGCAGACGCTTAACTGACTGAGCCACCCAGGCATCCCCAAATGATATTCCTCTTGATACCTTCCAGAAGCCTCACTGAGAAAACAATAGATGGACTATGGAACTGATTGCTCACTCGGTAGAAATCAGCATATAAAGAAATCATCTAGCTCCAGAGGTCTCCCCACTAACTTCCTCTTCAATTTAAGACAGAGTCAAAGGTTATGCTTTCTCTGGGATCAAATTAAATTTGAGGCTAAAGGTTGTTTAGGTGACCAGATAGCGCTGGGCTAGTTGGGTGGGTAGGAACCTGTTAGTAAGCATCAAGTCATTGAGATGAACTTCAAAATCTGTCTTGATTGTAGCTTTTAAAGCAGAAGAATTTGGTGCTGATTTTAAATGTTAAGAGCATTTACAAAGGAAGATGAAAATATAAATGTTTGCTTTGGCTATAGTTCAGCAGCAATAATTGCAGTCACTTTTGTATAAACTGCTTACCCTTTATGCCTATAGCACAACTATTTTTCAAATAACTAAATATCATTAAGTCATTTAATTATAATACTAAACTGTTGATATGCTCAACATGTACAGCTTTTTGTGTATGCATCATAGAAGTCATCTGCTTATATAGCTTAGTTGTTTACTCATACTCTAAAAATGAAATAGAACATGGGAGTCACTCTAGCAAACATGCCTATGGTAGTTTTCTTTAGTTTTTCTTCCTCTTTGATTGGATCAGATCCAGTGACAATGCCTCAGATATTAAATCAACTATAATAATAATGAAAAGCTACTTTGAAGGATAAATCTAAGTAACATTTTTTTTTTTAAGTTTTTTTTTTTTTTTTTTTTATTCATGAGAGACAGAGCGAGAGAGAAAGGCTGAGGGAGAAGCAGGCTCCCAAGGAGCAGGGAGCCCGATGCGGGACTCGATCCCAGGACCCTGAGATCATGACCTGAGAGCCGAAGGCAGACGCTTAACCATCTGAGCCACCCAGGCGCCCAATCTAAGTAATATTATTTGCTAAATTGGAGGCAAAAGGTTTCTTTTGCTGCAAAGAAGTTGGACATTCCTTTTTAAATTTGCTTTATTTGTCCTTTATGCCCCTCTGATTGAAGCCAGGGTTTTAAAATCATTTTTGCTCTCCCCATAAAGTTTAGTTATGGTTTTTGGCATTTTTATTAAAAATACATTCTGGGGGCACCTGGGTAGCTCAGTCAGTTAAGTGTCTACCTTCGGCTCAGGTCATGATCCTGGGGTCCTGGGATTGAGCCCCACATCAGACTCCCTGCTTCTCCCTCCCCCTCTGCTCCTCCTCTGGCTCGTGCTTTCTCTCTCAAATAAATAAAAATCTAAAAAAATTTTTTTTTTATTATTTTGTCATATCTTTCACTGCTTCCCCCCTCCCCCACCCCAGTATTCCAATTTTTCTAAGGGTGTTTAAGGTTGTAAATAATTTTCCATACCCTCATCTTCATATCCTGCAGATAATCTATTTTTCACCCCTTTTCTACCCACTATTTGGTCAGCAGGGGAAATTGCTTCTATCTACCAACCAACCACTACTGTAACAATAAACTACCTATTATCCTTAAAATCCAACCATCTTGGGGTCCAGAAGGCATACTTAAATTCTATTATACGTTAAGTCCATTACTGATAGGAGCAACTGCCCAAATAAATAATTTAAAAGAAAAGATCTAAAAAGTTTATTAGTAACAGAGAATCTGGGAGACTTGCCTATATATGAAAGAGGTAGAAAAAAATATATTTTTTATTAGCATGTTCAAGGTAGTCAAGATTTTAACAAACATCTTAATCCTCACAACAACCCTGTGAGGTAGGTAAGTCATTGTTTTGTGATAAACTAGTGTTATTCCAAATAAAGTGCAATTCTTAAAAGAATAATCTGCATTAGGAATAATTATGCTAACGAACCACTTATATATATGCTAATAGTTGTGTTTTTGTATACTTTGATTCATGCAATAAGATGTCCACATAAAAATTCACTGTAAATCAATCCTATGTAAATACATGTGGGGGACTATTTAAATAAACTCTGGGGTAATTTTTTTGTAAAATAAATCACTATTTTTTATCTTATGCAAGATGCAATTTTCACAGTATTCGCTCAAAGTGAGGCATTCTCAGCTATGTTATACTCACATTTATTCATTCTTTTGTAAGTTATTTCAACATGGCACCAAGCCAGTGTAAGATTTAATTTACTGAATTAAATCTTACCAATTTGGTATATGGCAGTGAACTGGGTTGTCACACAGAAATCTCCAAGTATACTGCACGCAGTCCCAACCCAAAACCTAAGATGGACTGTTTACTGAAATTAAACAATAAAGTAAATGTTGGTAAATTGCAAAAAGTATTTTCCCTTGAGGAGATTACTTAATTTTTTTCCTTGAAATTGCAAAAGGAACGAAAATCTTAGGGTTTTGAAAACAATTTCTGATAACTATAAAATTCTAGTGATTTATATTGCAAATCAAACCCTCATGCTATCAGTTTACTACTTACAAGGAAGCCAGCAGTTTGTTACTCCAAAAATTTAGGTACTTCTTTTTTCTCTGTGCCAATATGACTTAAGAGGAAAAAAATATTCCAGGTACCGTTTTCTCTTAAATATATATTTAAAGTACATTTCTATTGTTAATCCAGCATTAGTAAGCATCCAGTTGCCTGATATTTATTTATAGTTGTCTTATCTTCAGAATAGATTTTTATTAGAAAATTTCCATTAAATTATGTTAGATTAGTTATATAATTTATTTGTAACAATAACTTTAATTAAGCTTGCAAGTTAACACTTAAAATCTGCTGGCAGGTTTATAATACTTTAGAGCAAGTGGTTAAAGTAATTTGCCATTATAAAGAAATAATTCAAGGTCAGAAAAACATTCTCACCAAAGTATTTTTAAAAACTGCTGCAGGGAAACTAGGCAAATCAACAAGTAAAAAAGATTAAGCCATCTATAAGTTCTACATTCAAATCCATACTAGATCCAACAGTGCACTTTGGATTTTAGTGAGGTAGGGCAAAAAATATAGTCAGATACATTTTGAACTGTTAAATTTATATAAACTGAAATACTGACTTGTACCCCGGTTTTATTTGAATACCCAAAAAGAAAAACTGAGAATTCAAATGATGAAGTATTTTCTTGGTTTCAAGGAGACAGAACTGTAAAATCTTTTGAGTACATATAAATAAAAAATACAAAGGCTACAAGATATATTTTATTTCAACATAAAAGTACGCTTGTATAAAAATAACCCAGAACATAGAAAAAAGAAATATAAACATTTTTGCATAGATTGTCTATATATAATATTTACCTGGGGCTAAACACTGGAAAATACACCTCTGAAACTAGTATAGTTCAACTATTTCCTTGGATACCAAGTATATACAAAATAAAAGCCCTTCATCTGGGGGAGCATGGGCAGGAGGGAAAACAATTTAATGTAGCATCAGTCTATATTTATTTCTCTGTTGCTCGAATATAAACCAATGATGACAAGAGGAGAAACTCTGGGGGTTTATTTAACAAAATTAAATTCACATTTCTGAGGCCATCGTAGTGCATCCAATGTCCATCAATTTGGAAGGCTGCAGAATAATGATGTTCCTCTTTGTTAAATAATGTGGCACCTTCCAACAAATACCTGCAAATTAAATGACAAAGTGTAGCAAAAAAGACAAAACTTTATATTTAAACATTCCTTAAGTTGTTGTTGTTGTTGTTTTAAGTAGGCTTCACACCCAGTGTGGAGCCCAACACGGGGCTCGAACTAACAACCCTGAGATCAAGACCTGAGCTGAGATTAAGAGTAGAACGCTTATGGGAAAATTGGATAGCCACATGCAGAAGAATGAAACTGGACCATTTCCTTACACCACACACAAAAATAGACTCCAAATGGTTGAAAGACCTCAATGTGAGACAGGAGTCCATCAAAATCCTAAAGGAGAACACAGGCAGCAACCTCTTTGACCTCAGCTGAAGCAACTTCTTCCTAGAAACATCGCCAAAGGCAAGGGAAGCAAGGGCAAAAATGAACTATTGGGACTTCATCAAGATAAAAAGCTTTTGCACAGCAAAGGAAACAGTCAACAAAACCAAAAGACAACCGACAGAATGGGAGAAGATATTTGCAAATGACATATCAGATAAAGGGCTAGTATCCAAAATCTATAAAGAACTCATCAAACTCAACACCCAAAGAACAAAGAATCCAATCAAGAAATGGGCAGAAGACATGAACAGACATTTTTCCAAAGAAGACATCCAAATGGCCAACAGACACATGAAAAAGTGCTCAATATCGCTCGGCATCAGGGAAATCCAAATCAAAACCTCAATGAGATACCACCTCACACCAGTCAGAATGGCTAAAATTAACAAGTCAGGAAACGACAGATGTTGGCGGGGATGCGGAGAAAGGGGAACCCTCTTACACTGTTGGTGGGAATGCAAGCTGGTGCAGCCACTCTGGAAAACAGTATGGAGGTTCCTCAAAAAGTTGAAAATAGAGCTACCATATGATCCAGCAATTGCACTACTGGGTATTTACCCCAAAGATACAAAAGTAGGGATCCGAAAGGGTACGTGCGCCCCAGTGTTTATAGCAGCAATGTCCACAATAGCCAAACTGTGGAAAGAGCCAAGATGTCCATCGACAGATGAATGGATAAAGAAGATGTGGTATATATATACAATGGAATATTATGCAGCCATCAAAAGGAATGAGATCTTGCCATTTGCAACGACGTGGATGGAACTGGAGGGTATTATGTTGAGCGAAATTAGTCAAACAGAGAAAGACATGTATCATATGACCTCACTGATATGAGGAATTCTTAATCTTAGGAAACAAAATGAGGGTTGCTGGAGTGGGGGGTGGGGTGGGAGGGAGGGGGTGACTGGGTGATAGACACTGGGGAGGGTATGTGCTCTGGTAAGCGCTGTGAATTGTGCAAGACTGTTGAATCTCAGATCTGTACCTCTGAAACAAATAATGCAATATATGTTAAGAAAAAAAAAAAGAAGAAGAAGAAGAAGGTAGCGGGAGGGGAAGAATGAAGCGGGGGGAATCGGATGGGTAGACGAACCACGAGAGACGATGGACTCTGAAAAACAAACTGAGGGTTCTAGAGGGGAGTGGGGTGGGAGGATGGGTTAGCCTGGTGGTGGGTATTGAGGAGGGCATGTATTGAATGGAGCACTGGGTGTTATACACAAACCATGAATCATGGAACACTTCATCTAAAACTAATGATGTAATGTATGGGGATTAACATAAGAATAAAAAAAAAAAAGAGTCGAACGCTTAACCAACTGAGCCACCCAGATGCCCCTTAAATTTTTAATTAAGGAATAAAAATATTGATATTGTTTGCATTCTAGTACCTAAAAAAGATATGTCTGTAAAAAGCACATACTATAACTGATAATTTGGAGTAAAATATTTAAGAATTTAAAAAAATTGATATAATTTAAGTGTTCTGAAAAACATTTTAACAAGTTAACTCATAATTTGTATCATTCTATTAAATAAGAGAAAACCTTTTAAAGGCAAAAAGTTAAAAGACCCTGTATGTCCGAACTTGTATGCATACATTTTTATCTATAATGCTGAAAGTAACATTTTTTGTTTAAACAATGACCTTCTACTATACACTACTTTGACTTGAAATACAAGTAATAGCCAGTCATTACTATTTACTACGTGTCAGGTACTAGCCTAAACACTTTACATGTGTTATCTCATTAAATCTCACAATAATGTACCAGATAGGTACTGTCATCTCTGTTCCATAGAATAAGAACTGATGTGTAAGCTGGTTAAGTTAGGGCCCAACATTACATTGCTTGTAAAAGGTGGGGCTGGGATTTGAACTCAATTCTGTCTATCCCATAGTCCAACTACCATGCACATTGCCAATGACTAACCCCCTGTAGTAGATTCTAATCTTATTCAGAATATACATAATTATAGATAACTATGATATTTTCAACAATATTTCCTTAAGGGCTAGTCACAGTCATGATAGAATAGCAGAAAAATAGAAAATAAATTTACTTTTCATTAGTTTTATAAAACACACACAAAAAACACCTACTTGTGATCAGATAAATCCAAGTAATATGGTACATATGCCAGATCTTCAGATTTCCAATGCTGCATATTTAAGACAACAAAAGGGGGTGCCCCATGGCAGAAAACTCGCTGGGAAAATTCTCTTAAGCCACCACACCTAAAATTGAAAATAGGCATGAACTTTATCACACTTTAAACAAAATTACCTTTTATCACTTCTGGGTTGTCTTTATTACTTAATTTCATAATAAGTATAATTATCTATTTTAGGTGTCGGTAATGTTGTGGCTATATTAGTATTTTATATATCTATGCCTAGAAGTTTATAGGCTGTGAGATTCTATACAAGAAATAATACTTGCAAAACTCCAGGAAAAGCTAGCTATTTTTTTTTCTAAGCTTACAAAATATGTAGTTTTTTGAACTGACATAAAAGCTTTTATATGTCCATATATTTTTTTTTTCCTCTCTCAGCTGGTTTCAAAGGATAATACTGGCAGAGAGGTAAATAGTAGGACTCTTCCAGTCCTCTTTATATTGCATAAAATTCCCTAATTGCATCTTTTTGCCACTAGGATGAAACAAATTCTATTTTCTTAGTAGTCTCACGTATTAAGCATGTGGATCAGAATACCACAAATCAGAATACCACAAATACAGTAAAATCTCGATTAACCGGAATACTCAGGGCACAGTATTTTGGTTCACAAACATTACTGACTAAAGTATTAACCAGAAAACCATTTTGTTTCAGTATTTGCTGTTAAAATACATTAGTTCACTTTCTGGATTTAAGTACAATTAACTGAATGTATTTTATTCTTCCCTTCTTCTGTGATTAATTAGCTGTAAGATCATCCTTCTAAATCTTAATTCTCATTGTACAATACTGTAGATATATAAATTGTTAAGAGACTGGGATGAGTATGTTCTGCCCCTTTTGAATTTTTTTTAAACTATGTTAACTTTTTTGGTTGCCATTTACCTCTTTCTCCTAAATGAGGAATGCAGAAAAAAATCCAGTTAATTGAGAGTCCGATTAGCTGGGTTCCGGTTAACCAAGGTTTTATTGTTCCTACTCAGCAGTGGGGAAAAAAAGAAAAGGCATTTGCTTTGTATTCATCAATTAAATGTAGTATATTCTATATAGTGAAATTTTATAATGACAACACAGCATAAGATGGCACAGTAAACTATCGTAGGTGTTAAGATTTTAAAAACATTAGGCTTCCTAATTATTTGTGAGTTGCTATTTCCTAAAGTATTAACATCAAAGAACATATCTGTTCAGGTTTCTTTTTTTTTTTAAAGAGTTTTTGTTTTTTGTTTTTTTTTAAGATTATTTATTTATTTACTTGAGAGAGAGAGAGAGAGAGCACAAGCAGGGGGAGGAGCAGAGGGAGAGGGAGAAGCAGGCTTCCCACTGAGCAGGGAGCCCGATGCGGGGCTCGATCCCAGGACCCCGGGATCATGACCTGAGCCGAAGGCAGACGCTTAATGACTGAGCCACCCAGGCGCCCCCAGGTTTCTTTATAAAAAACAGAAATACTTTCATCTTAAATGTCTATCATATACTCACCCACTCTCTTCACACAGTTCAATCCTGGAACAGAATAACTCATCCACAGCCAGTCGTATCAAGTTTCCATGAGGAATTTCTTGGGGAGGACTACAACAAATACAAAAAGTATGTATGTAAGAATTACTTTGGAATTTTACATGTTAAATACATTATTAGGATAACCAATTTTACAGGTCAATTCATTATTAGCAAACCAACTATAAAAGTATAACCTCTGTTTTTCATCTTTGTTATAATTATAGAAATCAGTTGAACTTAATAAACATTAATGCATGAAGTTTTCCAAGAAACATTAAATCTTTCTGGAAACTGATCCTGAAATATGCAGTTGTTACTTTAAAAAATTTCTGAGAGGTTTCAGTAGAGGGGATTGTGGTTTTGGGGGAAGAAAGGAGGACCCAGAATTAGGAGAGCTGCCAATTAGTTACATGACTAAATACAAGTTATAGCCATTGTTGGCTTCTGTTACCTGATTTGTTAAAAAATTTCTTCCTACATACTTCAGAGATTGTTTTAAATATAGGATTAAAATATAGGCAAAAGCCTTAAAAAGTTATAGAGAATACAGATACATACTATATACATATAGTATGATGAAAAAAATATTTTATTGAGAAGCTTAAAATATTAGCATTAATATAGGATCATAAATATTTTTCAGAGCATACACAAATTGATACCAGTTTTGAAAAAACAGAACAGATTTCTCAAATGCTTTTTAGTCCATTACAATTTAGAGTAATGAAACTTTTTTCCCTGACAGATTTCAAACTCAACATCATCGTATCAGCAATACAGGAAAATGGACAAAGTGTATTTCAGAAACAAGAAAGACATTAATTGGCAGATTCTTAAAAAGAATAAAAGATCTTCAGCTTTCTGTAAGTAGCATGATGTTTCAATATTAAACTAAATATACTATAAACAAATGTGAATTTAGTAAATTAGGGTATGTGATGTATATTCCAAAAAGGGAGTATCTATTAGGCTGCTTCTCTGGACCACAGGGCCAAATGCACTTTCAGACACAATGTGTTTGGGTTTGTTTTTTGGTCCTGTTTTTCCACTGGCAGTTATCTTTTTTCCAGCTCATGTCCCCTGGGGGCTCTGATGTTTCCCAACACTCCACTAGGGCTTGCCAGTTTGGCCTTCCTCCCTATCATTTACCAGCCTGGAGGTCTGCCTTCTCTCTCAAAGCCAAAAATACACAGCAGGCTATGAGCACCTTTCCTAGTCAGTGAAAAAGCTCCTCCTATCCATATCCTCTCCAGGTATGAAGATTCCAAGTTTGGGGTTTCCGTCTATAATTATGCCCTGGCCATGTACATGAAAGAATACTTTCAATCTTGTTCATGTAGAAATAGCCAACCCAACAGAAATCCATTCAAGAGGTGACACATTCTAATATAGTATTAAATGTTCTTTAAGAGGTTACGTTTATGACACAAAAATTCTCTACACGGTCATATTAGCAATTCAAAGCAAGAATAAAACATTTTGCATACTGACTCATTACTTTTCAAGTGAAATAGTTATCAGTTGGTTTTACAAAGTCAATTCCAAGATATTTGGATTTAATAAACAGTAACACTTTTGTCACGGGGCTTACTATAGCCCTGCATTTGTGGGGTTGCTATGTGTTAAGTAATTACGCAGGGTCTGTACTTTAGGAAATACTTTAACTATATTGATTTATTTATAGCAACATTCATCTAAAAAGTATATTATCTTTGCTAAAAGTATCAGACTTCAAAGCAACTTACTTTATATTAATTGTGCGTTGCTGATCTTCCTGCACTCGAGTTGGGCATCGCCAGTTGGAACAGTAACTCTCTTGCGTGGTAGACATGAGATTTTCGAGATTTTTTGTAAAATTATCATGCTCGTTCCCAAATAAATCAATTATTAATGAAGCTTTATGAACTTCAGATTTGTATTGCTGTTTTTCCATCTTGTCCCAAATCCAAAGTAGCTTCACAGTTGTGAAACTGTAGGTGTCCATTAAATAAAGGAAACAGTCTATAAACTCTCTACCTAAATGAAGAGAGAGTTCCCTGGGAAAATTTTCATTTTCATTAAGAATGACATATAATAACATCAAGAATCCATCTATGGTGCAGGTATTTTTCAGTCTTATTTCAACGTATAGTGGTGTACAGGATACTGCTTTGCGGCCAGCTTTGATAGTAAAAACACCTCCCCAAGGAAGAACAGGCCTCCAAAATGAGCGGTCTTGGTTATAGTTATTTTTAATTGATGCTTTGATCTCTTCAAACAGTGTCTTCATCCTGCATTTTAAAAGTTTAAGATAGGACATGTAAATTTGTGATTTCATACATTAAATGCATGAAATATGTTTAAATGAAAACAAAGCTATCTAAAGCTTCAAATTAGGGGCGCCTGGCTGGCTCAGCTGGTAGAGCATGTGACTCTTGATCTCCTGATTTTAAGTTCAAGCCCCACATTGGGTATAGAGATTACTTAAAAATAAAATCTTAAAAAAAAAAAAAAGATTCAAATTAAATTTGGTCAGAAGGCCTACCAATATAATGAAAAAATTTAAAACAATTCAACCTGAGCCATTTTTTGGCAATATGCATGTCCTCTGGAAAGACCATTAAGAAGTACAATCTTTTCTGGGGTACAGGATGAGCATTTGATAGACTTTTATACTAATTATATTGCAGATTTTATCTTTGATATAGGAAGACCCTGAAATAAAAAATTCTAAATGAAAACAGAGCTATTTGAAGATGCAATCTAAATTTGGTTGGGTGCATTCCTAATGTAAACCTCTTTCTCCCTTCAAAATACAAGCTGTACTTCATTTCCTTTTTAATATGCATGATTCCACTTATGAAATTGCTATAATGGAATTCTTAGTTGGGCCACAAAATAATGGCCAATTATCTTTGAAAGACCACATATGAAAAGTAATCCAGAGTACTTAACTGAATAGTTTGCACAGCTGATATAAAAATCATTTCTATGCACTTTGGGATTTTCACTTGCAATTTAGGATGATGCTGGATATTCTATAATTCGAACTACAGAGGCCATGCTGTGAAGATCTGACTCAGAACTTGGTAAGTAATCTGATTCCCATCTTCATATGTTTTGGGAATGAACTGGGGTGTCCTCCCAATTTAAACTGTTATTTATCCTTCTCCTAACTTTGAGGTTAGCTAAGCGATTTGTTTTTAGTCATTGATGGTATTATAACAAACATGTTCGTGTCATGTGTGTTATATAAAGCAAAATTTTAAAAAAGTTAAAGAATGCGGTCCTAATGAAACTGAATTGAAAACCCTGCTTTACTTGGCACAATAAATGTCTAAACCAAAAACATCACAGGGTTTCTCAATGTTACTTCTATGGAAAAGTATATTTTCATGAAAAAGGAAAGCAAAGCATCTGAGGGAGAGGAAGCGAAAAGTGACTGAGGTGTCTTATTTTGACAATCTTTTCAAAGTGCCACACACATCCTCCCAAGCACAACATAAATCCAATACTCAATACTGCAGACCTATGTGTTTTATTTGTGTAAGAAAGTTCACATGGCATAAAGTATAGAGTTGTTGAATCACTATGTTGTACACCTGAAACTAATGTAACATTGTGTCAACTATACTTCAGTTAAGAAAAAAAAAACCTGTTTTACACTTCAAAGAAATTAAATTCAAACTGATTTTACAATACTAGCAGACTAAAAATTCAGTTCTACAATATATTAAACGCGGGCGCGCGCACGGTATTTTCGGCTTGAGGCAAGACTGAGGCCTCTAAAATATTCAACACTATATTTAGTCTTAAGTGTAGATGTTTATTCATAGTCGGTAACATGTTGGCTCTAGTCAACCATTTAGGAATCAGAGGGCGTGGTAAATCTGGAGGCTTAGGCAAACAGAAACTGTTTCTTCTTAATGTTTCTGGAGATTTTTAAAAAAATCATACAGCATTCAAATACTTTTAAAAATGAAAATAACTTTCTTCATGGTTTCACTTATTTCTATTTAATTTTTAGAAACTTTGTAGCAAGTTCACAAGCCTGAGCTCAGATCCCCAAATGCTGCATTGGGAAGGAGCCGTAAATCTCTGCACGACTTTTCCTCAAATTATCTTTTAGACATGACCAAATAAGAGGTAGCTACAGCAACAGTTATACTTAAGAGAAATACACTACAATTTTATATGCACTTATATATACATAAAATGAAACTAACTTCTTGAGCCTTTCTCCGGGGGAAGGGAAAGGACGGGAGAGAAGACTGAAGAACTAGAGGACACTTAATCGTTTCAGTATTAAGGTGGTGATTTGTTACAAAGTAAATTACAACAAAAATAAGTAAAAAAGGTGGTGAGATGGCTGCAAAGAGCTTTACTTAAAACTGACTTGAGATCTCACCACATCGTCGAAAAGGCTGTTTCGTTAGGCACTGTATTACAAGCCCTGGAGGATGTAGCCTGCTGGCATTATTGTCCTGATTCAACAGGCCCTCCAGTTTAAATAAACCTGAAAAACTCCCCCGACCTCTATTTCCTTGGCAAAACGACACCCTTCTTTTGCGGTCATTTCCAAGGGTGACCATCTGTACTCCACGCTGGTCGTGCGGACCAGACCATTCGCCCTGGGCACTGGATGCCAGACTCCCGAAGAACTCGGCGGTCCTAAGGGCCCCCTCTCGAATCAGCACCCCGAAATAATCTGAAAAACGGCCACGCGCTCCCCCTCGAAGCAGCGCGGGGCTTCGGGGTAGGGACCTGCTGGGCGCGCGGTGGGCGCCCGCCTCTGTCCGCCGCGCTCCGGCCACGCCTACCCCGCCCCCGGCCCTGCGCGCCCGCGAAGCCCTGGCACCGAGGGCTGGCCCCGCACGGCTGGCAGGTCCCCGAGCCTGGAGCAGGTGAAACGGCTGGGCAGCCCTGCCCGCGTCCAGGTAGTGTTCCCCTAAGCGCCTGGGACTGCGGGCGCTGCGCGGGAGGGCCAGGCCGCGGAAGGCGTTCCCACACCGGCCAGTCTCCGTCCACCAGGAAGCCGACTTCTCGTACCTCCCCGGGGACCGAAAACCGTCGGTGCCGCCGCACCGGTCGCCGCCGCCGCTTGCTCATGGAGAGCCCGTGCCGCCGCCGCCGCCGCCGCCTCATCTACTAGCACCGTCCACTGTCTGGGCCTCCCCGGCGTGAGTGCTGGGCTCTGGCACCGCCTCCATCGCACCCGCCGCGGCGGGAGCCACAGCAGCTCCAGCGCCCAGGCCCGATCCGACCGGACCCACGGAGCCAGGACCGCAGGACGCGTAGCTTATTACGGAGGAAGATTCGGCCTGACCTCCGCCCCCCTCCCCCCAGCCCCTAGTACCCAGCCGCTTGGCGGTGCTGCTGCGCAGGCGCGAAGACGCCCCTGCTAAACGTGCGTGTGTCGGGTGTGTATACAGCATCCAGATTCGCCCAATGGGAGCCAAGATCAGGTGCGGGGGGCGGGACCTTGCAGAGAGGGGCGGTGTTCTAGTGTTAGAGGGTGGGTGGGGTAGCCGGAAGTGGGCAGGGCTTGCATGGAGGCGGAGCTTTGTTGGCAAACCTGCCTGGCTTTTTGAGGTTTGTATCCTTTTTTAGGACCTTGATTTTAGTTTGTTTCTAGGTTTTGTCTTCTTGAATTCTTTTTTTTTTTTAATTTTATTTTATTTTGACAGAGAAAGACCCAGCGAGAGAGGGAGCACAAGCAGGGGGAGTGGGAGAGGGAGAAGCAGGCTTCCCGCGGAGCAGGGAGCCCGATGCGGGGCTCGATCCCAGGACCCCGGGACCATGACCTGAGCCGAAGGCAGATGCCCAACGACTGAGCCACCCAGGCGCCTCTTGTCTTCAGTTCTTTTTTTTTTTTTTTTAAAGATTTTATTTATTTATTTGGGAGAGAGAGAACACCTGAGAGGGGATAGGGTCAGAGGACGAAGCAGACTCCCTGCCGAGCAGGAAGCCCGATGCGGGACTCGATCCAGGGACTCCAGGATCATGACCTGAGCCGAAGGCAGTCGCTCAACCAACTGAGCCACCCAGGCGCCCTTGTCTTCAGTTCTTAACTCAGAAGGGGAAAGGTTTGTTTTCTGAGCAAATTTTAATTATGCAAGCTTTTAAGTATATAGTTAAGAAAAGGTGAATTAGTGGGTTAATTGCTCTCTTTAGTATTCAAGGTAATTGGTCAGGGTGCTGTAATTTACAATATAAGTTAATAACATTTATAGAAATTAGATAGCTCTAGTCCCACTGTAAAGATAAAAAAAAAATGAGTTTCAGAAATGTTCAAGTACCACACATTTAGTGACTTCTGGGAATTGAAGCCGGAGCCGCTTAATGCTACAGCCTGTGGGCTCAACCATTATTCCTACTAAGTAAGCCCTAGTTCTTGTATCCTTCCTTAAACAGTCGGAGCTCCTATGGCTTAGCTCCCGGAGAACACAGGCCACCCTGGAAAACTACCTTCTCCGCCATTACAAATGCGGATACTCTTGGGATATTCCCCATCCAACTGTTCAGCAAATAATGATTGTCTGGAAAGTGAAACCTAACCTCCAGAACATGCAATACAGAGAGCTCAAGGCCAGCCCAACACATTAGTGTGGTCCTCAGTCACAGCTGAATCTGGTGGATCCCTTCTTGACTAGTGATGGTCAGTCAGGACTATGGCAGGGACCTTCCTCATAGACCTCTCTCAAAGGGTCTAGTGATAGAGGAATGGAGCATGGGAGAGAAGGTTGACTTACTCAAAATAATTACTGCAGGTGGTGATGGGAAGAAAGGGACATCTCTCAGAACAGAGGGAGAGGAAAGAGGCTCTGGCCAAAAAGGAAGAATTAATAATTCTGGCACAGTCTGCTCTTTTTAGTTTCCCTGTTTTTCTTATTTTGTATGGCATTTCACAGATGAAGAAACTGAGGTTCCCAGAGATTAAATAACTAGTGTGTCTGTATTGGGATTTACATGCAAAAAGTTTACTCTCAATATTAAAACTACCCTGCAAGTAGAACATTTGTGAAAAATGTTTATAAATGTGGATTATATGTTCAGTTGACAATCTCCTGCAAGACATGGAATCAATTTTATACTGATTGGGTTATTCTCTTCCTGAAAACAGAACCAAGTAGTGGTGGTTGTCACCATTGCTGGAGAATAGCAGAGAGATGGCTCATTATGCTGAGGCTTAGCTAGGCGATGGAAGCATGGATTCTTTGCATACTTGGATAATTCACAAACCTCAGTGAGGCCTTTAACTGAGATTTCCATTCTGCTTCCTCTCTGCTCCTCTTAAAATCTGACAGCTGAGTTAGAGGTTTATTATTATTATTATTTTTTTAGACAGCTCTATTGAGGTATAATTGACATGTAATATGTGGAGCATATTTAAAGTATGTAATTTGTGAAGTTTTGATGTATATATACCCCATCATCTAGTCAAGTGAATATCCATCATCCTCAAGTTTCCTGAAGCCCTGTTGTAATTTCTTCCTTGCATCCCTCCCTGCCTCCCACACCTAAGCAACCACTGATCTACTTTCTGTCATTATAGACTCATTTGCATTTTCTAAAGATTTATGTAAGTAGAATCAGACAGTATGTATTTCTTTTTCTTTGGTCTGGTCTTTTTTACTCAGTATCACTCTCTAGACATTTGTTCAAATTGTTCTGTGTACCCATAGTTCATTCCTTTTTATTGCTGAGTGTATTCCATTATATGGATGTACTGCAACTTAACCACTCATCTGTTGGTGGACATTTGGGTTGTGTTTAGTTTGGGGCTATTACCAATAAAGCTGCTATGAACATTTGTGTACAAGTCTGTGTGGACATATATTTCCTTTTTTCTTGGGTAAAAATCTAGAAGTGGAATGGTTGTGTCATATGGTAGATGTATGTTTAGGTTCTTAAAAAACTGCTAAATGGTTCTCCAGGGTGGTTGAACCATTTTACATTCCCATCTATTTCCTGCACATCCTGACCAATATTTGGTATGATCAGTCATTTTTATTTATTTATTTATTTATTTAAAAAAGATTTTATTTATTTATTTATTTGAGAGAGAGAGAGCAGGAGAGTGGGGAGGGTCTGAGGGAGAAGCAGACTCCCTGCCGAGCAGGGAGCCCGATGCGGGACTCGATCCCAGGACTCCAGGATCATGACCTGAGCCGAAGGCAGTCGCTTAACCAACTGAGCCACCCAGGTGCCCTGATCAGTCATTTTTAATTTTAGCCATTCTAATAGGTGTGCAGTGATATCTTGTGGTTTTAATATGTTTTTTTCCTAATGACTAATGATGTTGAACATCTCTCTGTGTGATTATTTGCTATCTGTGTATCTTTTTTGGTGAAGTGTCTGTTTAGATCTTTGTCCCATTTAAAAAAAATTGGGTGGTTGTTTTTGTAAGTCTTGAGAGTTCTTTATATGTTCTGGATACAAGTTCTTTATCAGATACATGCTTTGCAAAGATTTTATTGTGGTATGTGGCTTGTCTTTTCATTCTCAACAAGAATTTTTTCTTTTTTTTAAGATTTTTATTTATTTATTTGACAGAGAGAGACACAGTGAGAGAGGGAACACAAGCAGGGGGAGTGGGAGAGGGAGAAGCAGGCTTCCAGTCGAGCAGGGAGCCCGATGCGGGGCTCGATCCCAGGACCCTGGGATTATGACCTGAGCGGAAGGCAGACGCTTAATGACTGAGCCACCCAGGTGCCCCTCAACAAGAATTTTGAAGAGCAGAAGTTTTAAATTTTAATAAAGTCCAATCTGTTCTTTTATGGATTGTGCTTTTAGTGCCATTTCTAAGAAATCTTTGCCTACTCTAAGTTCACAAAGACCTTTTACTGTGTTTTCTTCTAGAAGTTTTACAGTTTAGGCTGTATATTTAGGTCTATGATGAATTTTGAGTTACTTTTTTTTTTTTTTATGGTTTAAGGCATGGATTCAAGTTCATATATTGTTGTTCCAGCAATATTTCTTAAAAGGCTATTCTTTTTCCACTATGCTGTCTTTCTGCTTTTCTCAGAAATCATTTTGTAAACATTTTATTTCATATTTATTCGTCATCAAATATATGGCCGTATGCTAGCATGGAGATATGTATCAGTAAGTGTTCTTTGGTTGCAGAAACTAGAGATCAAATATTATCAATTTAAATAAAACAGAAATTTATTAGAAGGATGTGAAGAATAATAGAATTAAGGGAAAAGTTGAGCAATTAGGTCTCAGATAACCTGGTTGATCAGAAGGCAGGTAGTTCTCCCCAGGACAGTAAGATCCTATCAACAAAAGAAGAGGGAATGGTGGTGGGCAGATATCTCCTATAGCAGTGCTTCCCAACTTTTTTTACAGCCATACATGATAAATAATTAGATTTGGGCAGTGTATGAGGGCAAACTGGCAGAGATTAGGAGGTGTCTAAATTGGGCGTGGTGAAAAAAATCCATCACATTTTCTTTATATCATGTAATTGTAAGGAAAGCACAAGTATTAGGGAGATATGAAACACTGAATTTATATAAAACTTCTCAATAAAATCTATTTAAAAACTTGATGAGAAACTTGAACTTGTTTCCATGATATGATTTTTATTTCAAACCTTTATTCAAACTTAATTACAATAATACATAAGGAAAAGTGTACCTATCATAATTACATAGCTTGATGAATTTTTACAAAGTGAGCACACCTGTTGTGTGTTCCAGTTACATATACTCGCCTAACAAATTACCTAAACCTGGTGGCTTAAGATAGCAACATTTATTTTGCTTATGAATTTGCAATTTGGGCAAGGCTTGGTAGGTTAAATTAAAGGCTGGGAGCTGGAATCATCTGAAGGCTCCTTCACTTACATGTTTGGCTGTTGATGCTCCCCTATTGGCTCTGACTGTAGCCATGTCTGTGACCAGAACACCTCCACAGGGCCTTTCCATGTGATTCCTCGATTTTTTCATAGCATGGTGGCTGGGTACCCAGGGTGAGCATCCCAAGAAAGAGGGCCAGGTGGAAGCTCCAGTGCCTTTTCTAACCAGCATTGGAAATCATGCAGTGTCAGTTCCAGTGTATTGTTTGTTGGGCGTGAGTCACTAAGACCAGCCCATATAAAAGTGGAGGGAACTGGACTTCACCTTCTAATGGAAGGGGTGTCAAGGATCTGTGGATATGTTTTTAAACTCCCACACTTACC